AGGGTTCTTGACAGAACTTCTCTGTACGAACGATTTATATTTTCAATAAAAGCTTGCTTTACAATATATATAATATATATATATATATATAACAATTTTATCTCAATAAATAAAATCTTGTTTCAATAGGAAGGTTGATAAGCGTTTGGTTCAACTTGATTTTGGACAAAATTTGGTTAATGTGTAATATTTTCATTTTTGAAAAACAGAATTTAACAATTCTAACCAAGTTTCATTATTTCATATGATTTGATTTATGAGCTTTCAAAACTTAAAAAAAAAAAATCTTTTAATAATATTTTTAGTTCTTTTGCACTAATTTAGAAATGAAATATTTATTTTTTATTTTATAAAAAATAAAAATAATAAAAAAATATTATTCAAATTGATTTGGATACTTTTAATATTTTAACTTGCAATAAATGAAAAGTTGTTAAATTATATTTTCTTTCATAAAACTAAATTGTGACTTTCTAAAATATAATTTGACATGCTTGGGATAATTTTAGTATTTTAACTTGTAATAACTTTTTTCGATCAGGAGATTGTGTAAATTTGTTTTAAATTATAATTTCTTATCTTCAAAATCAATGTCCAAATATTCCAACCAACTAGAACCTACCCTACTATACCTTAGTTTATGAAGCCATGTGATTGGGTAAATGATAAACATAACCTCTAATAATATGAACTTTAAAATGCCAATTTTAAGCCACCATGTCAATGGTGATCATTAAACACTGAATTACTCAATTTAGCTGGAGCTACTTTTCACTGAAAAGCTAAGTAAGCTATAACTTGTTTCATCTCCAGTTTACTTCCATTGAATTGAAGAAGCTTAAAAAAAAAAGTCTCATGTCTCCATCTCTAGACTCTAATCCATTAGCTGTTGAATCTTGCACAATCTTCTCAAATGACATTATTCATATATTGATATGTATTGCTCATGAAATATATATGGATAATGTAGACCTCATTAATCATGAAGATTGCAAAGCTAAAGATTGATAAAAACGTATTAAAACTGTAAATAAATAGTTTCTAAAATGTTTTCTTTATACTAATGACTTTATTATGATCTGCTGGTAATTTCAAAAAAAAATTTATGATCTATTTGTGAATTGTTGGACTCTTAATATTAGTGATTAAGATTCAAATTCTAACTGCCTTACTTACCAAGAAAATGTTCCCTATAGCAAAGTAAAGTGTTCCGAGGTTATAGATCTTGGCCTAGTGGTGCATCTCAAAAAGTTAATCAAAGTCCTGCAACATGAAGCCATTGATCAACTGTAGAAAACAATCCTAAAATCCTTGATTTTCCCCACCTAAATCATTTATTAACCACCCAAAACTTACACCATCTAATCTTAGGCTAATATTAAAGTTAATCATATATTTTGTATGTGAACTTTGATAAAATGTACAAATTGATACTTGAAGAAAAATTTCCAGGAGCAATTAAAACTAAAATTAAGGATTTTAGAAATGTAAAATTGATAATGAAAATTAACAATTGGCTGGGTGCACGAGCAACTAAAACCAATATATATAAACTCCAGTGGCAAAAGAAGATTGCCCTCATGAAATGAGAAAGAAATGGACAGTTACATATGGCAAGGCATGACAAGTACTTTTTTAAGTGAATGAATTAAAGCTTTTCTTGATCATGCTAATGAGAAATTTTTATTCTCTGTATATTATTTAGCATTAAGTGATCTTAAGAAATGCTGAGAAACACCTATCTGCTTCTACTCTGAACAGTATTAATTTCATTCAAATTCAAATACCACGAATTTGATAAAATCCCTAATCTTTTCTTTCTCCTTTCTTTGAATAGTTATAAGAAATAGATAACTTAAACTCAGGACCTCTTTTATGAGGAAAAGGTCAGCTCCAACTAGAATTTTTTAAATTATTTCAACTTTATTTTTGCTAAGTCAAATCATATATATATATATATATATGTATTATTACAAAATACATTATTACAAATAAGCTATATTGATGTGGACAACTATATAGATGGTTTCTTTTTTTGACACTTAAGAAAAATCTTAAAATTTTTGACACAAAATATTTTCTAATTTTAGATTATTTATCAAAATATATTTAAAAATTGTTTAATTATCCAAAACTTTCAAAATTTAATTGAAAAACCAATTATTTAATTATCCAAAACTACCTGTTTATCTCTTATTAACACTTTTAAATTTTAGACATAAACTACAATGCAAGTTAACTATTTAAAAAATATATGGTTTTAGATATTAAATTTTTTTATCTTTCCATGATTTTAAATTTAGCATATATATTATACATTTTATTCACCTTATTAGTTGTTCTTTTATTTTAACATAAAATTCTGATACTTTTACCAACTGTGAAATTGGCTAAACAAGTATAGCACTACAAATATAATTCTCTTGATATCAGATTCTTTGATATTGCCCTTCTTTAATGGCTAAAATTTATGATAATTAACCTTTTGTTCCTAGGTTTTTGAAGATTTTGAAACAAGGTGTTGGGTTGACATCATGTTATTTATATGGAGCCTGGAAGAGCTCCTTACCACATCTAAGAGATGAAACAAAAGAGAGAGGTTGATATAGTTGTTGGGGCACATGGCTGCATGAAAGGTCAAATGTGGTCATCATTCAATTTAAGTGCTTTTGATAGTTTTAGAGATGCTGTTCAATTCTACATTTTTTAAATACTTTTATTAGTTGATATAGTTGATGCTATATTGCAAATGGTTCAGAATCACATAAAGAGGGAGAATATTCATTTAGGTTCATTGAAATTTCAAGTTCTTGATGAGGTGGATGAAATGCTGAGAATGGAATTTGTTGATGATGTTGAACTTATATTAGGTATGTATTTTGTGAATGCTACTATTTTTTCTTTTGGGGTGGTGGATGGATGGTATAAGTTTTTATATATGAAAGTTAAAGAAGTAGAATGCATTTGAATTAGAATGCATTAGAATATTGTTGAGGTTCATTGCACCTTTATTTTTATCCAAAGAGGTTAGAAACTTTTATCATCTAGATGAAATGATATATAAAATTAGTAATAATTAATATTACACATTTAATATGTGAATTAAAATTTTGATTCTTCTTAAATTATAATTATTTTATATTATAAAATTTTTATATTTTTAAACTAATATTCATTATAGCAAATTCAAAAATAGTTTATGCATTTTTTTTATTTTTTTCTTATGTTTTATATAATATAATGTCTTTGGTTTTTATTATGATTCTAATAGATTTAAGCAAACCTCACCCGCTGCCAGAGTTAATTGTTGAAAGTGATTCCAAGGGGGTAAATTCTTGGTTAAAGAAGATCAGTGACAGCCCTTGGAGATAAATGTGATTCTCAACAAACTTCTCAACCTCCTTGCAGGCATACAGAAAATATCTTTTGTCCCTGTGTATAGAGAAACAAACTGTTTTGCAGACTCTCTTGCAAAGCAAGGATTATACCGTAACCATGATTTGGTTGCCTAGTTATAATTTGGTATTTCTCTTATATTAATAAAATTCTGCTTTAACTTTCCAAAAAAAGATGATTTTAATAGATTTCAAATTTTTTTTACATAATTGATATTATAAAAATTAGATTACTTAATAAATAAATAAATTTATAATTTAATTATATTTATTATAAAATAATAAAATATTTTAATGTTTTATAAATTATTATCTTTAAACAATATTTAAATAATTAACTTGTGTAATTATTACAATAAGGATGATTATTTTCGTACTTTTAAATAAAATAATATTTGATTTTTAGTAATATCAAATACCGTAATTTTTAATTCATATAAATTAACAATTGTTAATCAAACAAAGTAATTTCAAATCATAAATGATAAGATCACCTTAGTAATAAAATCACTTTGATAATTGCATTACCATGATGAATCTTAAAAATATTATCAAACATTACCTTAAAGAAAATAAACAGTATCATTTTCTCATGTCTCTCTACTTCAATGCACAAGTACTAAAAATATTCACACATTTGGAAAAGCATCTCTTATAAACTTGTTGCTAGCTATATATCCCGTTTTGTTCTCTAACAATTAAGGATGATCGAAACTAGCTTAGAATATCCTCTTTGGATCTTTATTAGAATTAAGGCTAGCAAAAATATATATTTCTTAAAATTAAATTGCTTAAAAATTATTGCCAATTTAGCTAGAAAGGAGATTTTATCCTAACAAACTTTACTTGTTGTTTAAGAAAAGGTGTTGTCAGATTCACATATACAATTTTTTTTCCATGACAATTAATTCTATTGTACTTAGAATATATTTTTCTGATTTTGCCAAAGAAAAAGAAATTAAAATCAAGAGAAAAGGGAGGTACAAAAGAATAGCCTCTTGATTATCCATACCACACGAGATCCATGTGAAACTCATATGCAATAACATGGACTCAGCATTTGCAAACAAACAAAATTTTACAATTTTTTTAAATAGAATAATTTTTCAAATTATAACATTGTATATTTACCTGGGGTGGTAGTAATTTACTAGGATTGATCCTTGTGACATCCATGTGCTTGATAATCAAAAAAATCATGTATTCATTATACCATTAATAAAATTAGACCATATTATAACAAAGGCAAAGCAACTTATCCCTATGTTCAAAATTTTATGTCTTCAATTCATGCTTACTCTCAAATTCTTCTCCAATATAAATCTTGTTTGATTGATCTAGCATCTGACTTCACTACCGTATGTAAAAACAAAAGGTTGAGATTAAGTTTCTAAAAGAATTACACTTCTGCACCTAATTCTAAATAAAGAGAAAAATATATACACACACTTACATGATGAATTCTAGTTCAGCATTCTTCTTATTATGTAAAGAAAAGAGATAAAAGAAAACAAAACACCAGCCATTATCAGGTGTTTCTTTGTATCCCAAATTTTTACTTTGGAGACACATGATCACTAGCTAGTTGCACCTCAATAGATATATTTACTCTAGGTTTAAGTACTTCTCTTGAGATAGCTACCAAAGGGAAGCCAATATTAATGATGACCAATTATAGAGTAACACTGATTATATATATATTTATATAAGAGCTACCAATTTGCAAGTCTTAATTGTGGTGAAATATAAGGTGTAGTCGTTTAATATTGTAGGCTATACATGCAAAATAGAATAGATATGTTCATTATCCAATTAATTCGATACTTACTATAATATCAAAATCAAGAACATAAACTAGTTACTTATATTAATTCAGAAAACTTTTTAGAGTACACCAAACTATTTCTTCACAGTTTTAAATTACTATCTTGATAATTGATTGTAATATGAAGGTTTCTAACAATATGTTAGATGAAAGACTGATTTCTCTCTAAATATATAGTAATTCGCAATGTTAAATTGTAAGTGCCCTTAGTACACTGATTAACAAGATAATTTAACAAATGCATATATATTTACCTTTTTTTAAGGCAGTGGATTCACATTTCTCATTTGTTGTTTGGGGATTGTAATATTTATTTTGGTATTCTAATATTGTTGGGGATTTTCATATAGCATTGGTCATTTGGTCGGAGCCCTATATTTTATGAGCATATCTTATGAAATCAAGATGTGTTTAGTATACAAGATTATGATAGGATAGGATAAAATAAAATTATAAATAAAATTAGATTAAATAATGTCATCCTATCTTGTGTGATGTATGCAAAGATTATAATAGAATAATTTATTTATTGATCAAAATTATCATTTCTCAAAGTTTATATAATTTAAATTATTGATATAATTTTTAAAAGTTTAATTGGACATGTAAATTCAATCTCATGAATTAAAAATAATCATCTCCACTTTCAGATAATTGAATCATCCTATACTAATATGACAATTAATTCTTCTTATAATCCTATCATTTTATTTAAATATAAACCAAACATAATATAGGATGATTATCATCCTATTCTATTTATCATCTTATGCATCAAATATGATCTTTAAGGAATTAATGAAAGTTGGTAGGAAGATTTAGATAATTGGGATTTCATACTGAAAGATCACCTTTCACCTTAAATAGAAAAATGAAAGGTAAAATATCAGTGTTGTGTTCTAAGTTGCATGGCAAAGATATATGGAAAGCATCAACTTCTTGTAAGATAGCAGATATTAACTTCTTGTAAGATAGCATATCAGTCATAAGATATGGCTTAAACAAGGTTCAGTAAAGTATGAACTAGCATCAACAAAATTCATAAAGACATTCATTTGAAACCATGGCCTCCCACCCCAAAACCCCTCAGCTTCTGACATAAATTATTAAAAGAATTTTTGGTAATAGAAAGATAAGATTCAAGTACATTCAGTCATTATGAATTTATACTTTTACTTGATTCGAAAGATCCTTCAAAGCAATTATGTTTCTCACTTCCTCTCTCACTCACCCGAGTACATTCAGCACATTAAATGGAACAGCAGGCAGATATTTCTATATAAAACCAATAGAGATAGAGCAAGAATAAAGGCAAAGCATTAACATATAGATATGAGATAAGGGAGACCAACCTTGTGTTGGAGTACTCAAAGAGCTTTCCAATGGGTGAAAAGACTAGAAGAGCTATCTCAGCATCGCAAAGAGTGGAAAGCTCATGAGCTTTATTGAAAAGTCCTATTCTCCTCTTTGAGAAAGTCACCTGTCTTGCCGCTATGTTGTCAATCTTCTTGATCTGAATTTTTTTTCTCGTCATTCTCTTCCAGGGATAAATTCATCTAAACCCTTCAAACAAAATCAAACCAAAATATCAAGGAAACAAGGGCAACAACAATATTCTAGGGAAACAATCAAAGAAACAGTAGTTGTCTGGAAAGAGAGGGAAGAAGGGGTGTTCAAAGGGAAATATATAAAAAGGAAAAGAAGACCTAAATTTTAATCCAAACATCAGAATCCTATCGGACAGCTGATCACAAAAGAAAATGCTAAGCTCCAGCACTGGGTAATTAGCAAGATGCAGACAACCATATTTGGAGAAAGACAGAGGCAATACACATATTGAGAAATCAAATGTTGTTGGGAAGCAAAAATCATAACATTAACCCTCCAGGAACAGCAATAAAAGAAAATTACCTTGTTCAGAAGTACATAAAAACACCAACAAAAATGGGTGTTTCGTCACAAGAAATCAAACCCAAAAAAGAAAAAGTAGTTACCAGTTTTTCACCTCAAATCGATCAAAATACAAGAGAGAAGCAACTAGCAAGGTTAAGTACTGTGAAAATGTTGCTGGATATGGAAAATGTATAGAAGGGAATCTGGGATATAAATAGCAAATATATGAAATGGGATCACAGATAAGAAACAGTAGGACAAAGAGCTTAGCTGCAGTACTAATGGATTTTTTTTCTTTCCAAATTAAGCCAACATAATAATCAAATACTTTACACAAAAATAATAATAAAAAAGGAAAGGACATCAGGAAGGAACCATTGAAACCAACCCTAGATGGGAAAAGAGATAGAAAGCAGATGCACACGGTTGCAAAAAAAAAGAAAAGAAAAAGCCTACCAATCCAAGCTCAGTTAGTATGGAAAATGGAAGAAAGTGAGGGAGATTGGTCAGAATTTATGATTTTCTCATATTCATTTGCTTTTATTTTTTTCTTTTATTTATTTATTTTTTTTATAAAAACTGCTCATGACACTTCACAAGAACCTGATACAAAGCTACCAATTGCTTTCAGAAAGAGAAAAAATGGAAAGAAAGGGAGATAAGAAAGGAAACGAAGAAAGATATAGCAAGATTCCTTTTATGTCCCGAACAAGGAGGGGGCTAAAGCTTTACCTGCAAAAATTTTCCCACATTGTTTTGGTGAAAATAAATTATTTTTATTAAGTGGAGAAAATATTGGTGGAATGTAGATTTTTATTTTTATATGGTTGAGTTTTGCTTTATCGTACATGTGGACCATGCTGGATACTGGTCAGAAATTATGACTCAGTTGTACCCTCGTACCAGTCGTGTCTTCGGTGACTTCAATTTGCTTTTTCATGTATTTGTGCCGGTTACTGAGGGAATGTATGTACAATATAATTAGCTTATATTAAATTCACGTATAAATTTTATATATTATTAATAAATTAATTATTTTATTTTATTAATAAATAAACTAAAACTTAATCAGAATTTTAAAAATAAATTAATTTTAATAATTAAATAAACTTTTAACTTTCATTTTTAAGGAACTAACTATTTTTACTTTTATTTATTAAAGAAATATCACGACATGATTGATCGGTAATATATAACATTTATATATTGTTAGTAAATTAAATATTAATTCTAATATAATTAATATAGAAATTAATATTATGAAATGTTTCTTAAAGTATAATAAAAGATTTAATATAATATTTAAATTTTAAATATATTTAATGTAATAATTAAGTATTTAAAAAATTATTTTTTTATTAAATATCAGATTTATAATTAATTATGTTAAAAGTGATTATTATATTAAATAATAAATTTATAATTTAAATATTACATTAAAAATTTTTAAAAATTAATATTATATTAAATATTTTATTATAATTTATAAATTATTTATAACATTAACCTTTAATATAATCATGAAAACTGTTATCCTTTTTTTTTTATCAATTCCCTGTTTCTTTCTTTACTCTTTTGAAGTTGGTTTTTGCATTTTTATTTTTTTAATTGAAATAAGTTTTATTTGAGATTTTGAGTGTTTCTGTTACTATATATGTTCAATTCTTTATTTCAATTTTTTATTTGTTTTTTAACTTTTTATGTAAACAACTAAAATTAGTAACCAAAAGATAAATATTGTGACTGATAAAACTTTAAGTGAATATATAACATGGTATATTAAAAATAACATCATTATAGCAATTCTACAAAATCATATATTAATAAAGCTTAAGTGAATATATAGTATAGTATGTTAAAAATTGTTAGGAATATTGACTCAAATCTCATAAGAAATTTGTTTGAGATTTGTTTGAGATTTTTCAGATATTGCTTGATGGACAAGTAAACTTGCAAAAGAAGAATTCTAAGAGAAAGAGGATTCTTAATTGGTAAGTTTGACTTGCAAGAGAAGAATTCTAAAAGGAAAGGGATTCTTAATAGGTAAGTTTGACTTGCATGAGAAGAATTTTAAGAGGAGAGGATTTTTAATGGGCAAGTTTGTATGGTTATAAATAGGTGAAGTCTCTACAGGATTAGGTATGAGAAAAAGATGTAAGAGAGTTGTAGGGTTTTGTGGGATAGACCCCCTATAGGAGTATTGAGGCTCTACGTCTTATGTGTGTATGTTTGTTTGTGAGTGAACTAGAGGAGATTGAGAGGGTCCACATAGATATGATGTATGGGAGCATATGGGTATGTGTTTGGTTATGTTGAAAGAGTGCACAATGGTTTGGGTTTGTGTTTGTTTGGGTTGAAAATACTTTATAAGACTAAAGGAGATTGAGAGTGTCTTATGAGTATTGATTGTTGAGTGAGGTTGATGATTTGATGTATGTATGTAATTCTCTACAACTAGTGGATATTGTTTCTCATCCGTGGATGTAGGTCAGTTAGACCGAACCACGTTAAATTATTATCTCTTGTGTGTTTGATTTATTATTTGATTTCGCTTCCACTGGTGTGATTGGATTGGAGGCTTTTAGCCCAACAAATGGTATCAGAGCTGTGGTATTCCCCAACAAGTGGTATCAGAGCTGTGGTGTTCCTCAACAAGTGGTATCAAAGCTGAAGGTTTGAAACGTGAGAAGAGTTGAAGATTCAAGATGTAAAAAGAGTTGATGGTTCAAGACATAGGAAGAGTTGACAGTTCGAGATATGGGAAGAGCTTGGTTTAAGACATGGGAAGAAATAAGCTTAGAGGAGCTTAATTCAAGAATTTGAGTTCAAGTTTTGAAGATTGAGGATTAGTTTGTATGAAGCGTGAAGACACAAGAGAAGAGAAGATGATTGTGAGACTTTCATTACAGGTGAAGCCAAGCATGTCTAGCATGAAGATAGATGATTGATGGAATTTGAGTCAAAGTGGAGATTGTTGGGAATATTGACTCAAATCTCATAAGAGATTTGTTTGAGATTTTTCAGATATTATTTGATGGACAAGAAGACTTGCAAAAGAAGAATTCTAAGAGAAAGAAGATTCTTAATATGTAAGTTTGACTTACAAGAGAAGAATTCTAAAAGGAAAAAGATTCTTAATAAGCAAGTTTGACTTACATGAGAAGAATTCTAAGAGGAGAGGGATTCTTAATGGGCAAGTTTGTATGATTATAAATAGGTGAAGTCTCTACAGGGTTAGGTATGAGAAAAAGATGTAAGAGAGTTGTAGGATTTTGTGGGATAGACATCCCATAGGAGTATTGGGGCTCTACGTCTTATGGGTGTGTATGTTTGTTTGTGAGTGCACTAGAGGAGATTGAAAGGGTCCACATAGGTATGATGTATGGGAGCATATAGGTATGTGTTTGGTTATGTTGAAAGAGTGCACAATGGTTTGGGTTTGTGTTTGTTTGGGTTGAAAATATTCTATAGGACTAGAAGAGATTGAGAGTGTCTTATGAGTATTGATTATTGAGTGAGGTTGATGATTTGATGATTTGATGTATGTTTGTAATTCTCTACAACTAGTAGATCTTGTTTCTTATCCGTGGATGTAGGTCAGTTGGACCGAACCACATTAAATTATTATCTCTTGTGTGTTTGATTTATTATTTGATTTCGCTTCCACTGATGTGATTGGATTGAAGGCTTTTAGCCTAAATAATGGTATCAGAGCTGTGGTATTCCCCAACAAAAATAACATCATTATAGCAATTCTACAAAATCATATATAGTAAACTACACATTTCGTAGTATTGTTATGAAAACTAAAAATTTGCATTTTCTATGTTCCTTTCTTTTTTTGTTTACTCTGCTTCATAGGATAATATTTGAACCATACATTTTTTTTTTTGGCTGAAATCACAAAAAATACTCTTTGAACTTTATTTTCGATAAGGTCTTATATTTTTGTTATATCTAAATAAATTTTTAATCTTTAATTTACATTAAAATAAATTCTTAATATTTAATTTATATACAAATAAACTTTTAATTTTTTTATTTACACTTAAATAAATTTTTAATATAAGCCAATCTTTTATTTAAAATAAAAGTTTATTTGAATACAAATTAAAAAATAAAAATTTGTTTGAATATAATAAAAATATAAAAACTTCTTTAAGATAAATAGAGTAGTTTAGGGATTTTTTAAATATTTTTGCTTATTTTTGACAAATTAAAATATGATCAGTAGGTACACAACTTAAAAAAAAAAAAAAAAACCATAGGATGGGCATAGCCCGTGGAGCAAGAAAGATAGTTTTGATTAGAAACCAAGACTTCTAATTCCACTCAGAACTCCTTGACCATTAGGTCAATAAGGTGTGAATTGTCATCGGTGATGGATCTTAATATTTATTCTTGAAAATACTAAAATAATAATATATAAAATATTTTTTTTTCAAAAAAATATTTTATCATACTTATTAATATATATATATATATATGCAAATAATATACTAATAAAAAAATAATAAGCTAATAAAATTATAAAATAAAAATATTATTGTGATAACATTGTATTTTTATCGATAATAAGATGTACAATTAAAGATAAAATTACTAATTACACAATTTATTAATAAATTATAAAAAATTTCT